ATCCAAACATGAGCCAAATATGACCCGAACATGATCCGAACATGTGCCGATCATGACCCGAACATCACCCGAACATCACCCGAACATGAGCCAAAAATGACCCGAAGATGATCCAAACATGAGCCAAATATGACCCGAACATGATCCAAACATGACCTGATCATGATCCGAACATGAGCCGAACATGAGCTGATCATGACCCGAACATGAGCTGATCATGATCCGAACATGACCCGAACATGATCCGAACGTGCCGATCATGACCCGAACATCACCCGAACATCACCCGAACATGAGCCAAAAATGACCCGAAGATGATCCAAACATGAGCCAAATATGACCCGAACATGATCCAAACATGACCTGATCATGATCCGAACATGAGCCGAACATGAGCTGATCATGACCCGAACATGAGCTGATCATGATCCGAACATGACCCGAACATGAGCCGAACATGAGCTGATCATGATCCGAACATGACCCGAACATGAGCCGAACATGAGCTGATCATGATCCGAACATGACCCGAACATGAGCCGAACATGAGATGATCATGATCCGAACATGACCCGAACATGAGCCAAATATGACCCGAACATGATCCAAACATGAGCCAAATATGACCCGAACATGATCCAAACATGAGCCAAATATGACCCGAACATGATCCAAACATGACCTGATCATGACCCGAACATGAGCCGAACATGAGCCAAATATGACCCGAACATGATCCAAACATGAGCCAAATATGACCCGAACATGATCCAAACATGAGCCAAATATGACCCGAACATGATCCAAACATGACCTGATCATGAGCCGAACATGAGCTGATCATGAGCCGAACATGAGCTGATCATGATCCGAACATGACCCGAACATGAGCTGATCATGATCCGAACATGACCCGAACATGACCCGAACATGATCCGAACATGAGCCGATCATGACCCGAACATCACCCGAACATGAGCCAAATATGACCCGAAGATGATCCAAACATGAGCCAAATATGACCCGAACATGATCCAAACATGAGCCAAATATGACCCGAACATGATCCAAACATGACCTGATCATGACCCGAACATGAGCCGAACATGAGTCAAATATGACCCGAACATGATCCAAACATGAGCCAAATATGACCCGAACATGATCCAAACATGAGCCAAATATGACCCGAACATGATCCAAACATGACCTGATCATGAGCCGAACATGAGCTGATCATGAGCCGAACATGAGCTGATCATGATCCGAACATGACCCGAACATGACCCGATCATGAGCCGAACATGACCCGAACATGATCCGAACATGTGCTGATCATGACCCGAACATCACCCGAACATGAGCCAAAAATGACCCGAAGATGATCCAAACATGAGCCAAATATGACCCGAACATGATCCAAACATGACCTGATCATGATCCGAACATGAGCCGAACATGACCCGAACATGAGCCAAATATGACCCGAACATGATCCAAACATGACCTGATCATGATCCAAACATGAGCCGAACATGAGCTGATCATGACCCGAACATGAGCTGATCATGATCCGAACATGACCCAAACATGACCTGATCATGATCCGAACATGACCCGAACATGAGCTGATCATGATCCGAATATGACCCGAACATGACCTGATCATGATCCGAACATGAGCTGATCATGATCCAAACATGAGCCAAATATGACCCGAACATGATCCAAACATGACCTGATCATGATCCGAACATGAGCCGAACATGAGCCGATCATGACCCGAACATCACCCGAACATCACCCGAACATGAGCCAAAAATGACCCGAAGATGATCCAAACATGAGCCAAATATGACCCGAACATGATCCAAACATGACCTGATCATGATCCGAACATGAGCCGAACATGAGCTGATCATGACCCGAACATGAGCTGATCATGATCCGAACATGACCCGAACATGAGCCGAACATGAGCTGATCATGATCCGAACATGACCCGAACATGAGCCGAACATGAGCTGATCATGATCCGAACATGACCCGAACATGAGCCGAACATGAGATGATCATGATCCGAACATGACCCGAACATGAGCCAAATATGACCCGAACATGATCCAAACATGAGCCAAATATGACCCGAACATGATCCAAACATGACCTGATCATGACCCGAACATGAGCCGAACATGAGCCAAATATGACCCGAACATGATCCAAACATGAGCCAAATATGACCCGAACATGATCCAAACATGAGCCAAATATGACCCGAACATGATCCAAACATGACCTGATCATGAGCCGAACATGAGCTGATCATGAGCCGAACATGAGCTGATCATGATCCGAACATGACCCGAACATGATCCGAACATGACCCGAACATGATCCGAACATGAGCCGATCATGACCCGAACATCACCCGAACATGAGCCAAATATGACCCGAAGATGATCCAAACATGAGCCAAATATGACCCGAACATGATCCAAACATGAGCCAAATATGACCCGAACATGATCCAAACATGACCTGATCATGACCCGAACATGAGCCGAACATGAGCCAAATATGACCCGAACATGATCCAAACATGAGCCAAATATGACCCGAACATGATCCAAACATGACCTGATCATGACCCGAACATGAGCCGAACATGAGCCAAATATGACCCGAACATGATCCAAACATGAGCCAAATATGACCCGAACATGATCCAAACATGAGCCAAATATGACCCGAACATGATCCAAACATGACCTGATCATGAGCCGAACATGAGCTGATCATGAGCCGAACATGAGCTGATCATGATCCGAACATGACCCGAACATGAGCTGATCATGATCCGAACATGACCCGAACATGATCCGAACATGAGCCGATCATGACCCGAACATCACCCGAACATGAGCCAAATATGACCCGAACATGATCCAAACATGAGCCAAATATGACCCGAACATGATCCAAACATGAGCCAAATATGACCCGAACATGATCCAAACATGACCTGATCATGACCCGAACATGAGCCGATCATGACACGAACATGAGCCAAACATGAGCCGAACATGAGCCGAACATGAGCTGATCATGAGCCAAATATGACCCGAACATGATCCAAACATGACCTGATCATGACCCGAACATGAGCCGATCATGACACGAACATGAGCCGAACATGTGCCGAACATGAGCCGAACATGACACAAACATGAGCCGATCATGACACAAACATGAGCCGATCATGACACGAACATGAGCCAAACATGAGCCGAACATGTGCCGAACATGAGCCGTGATTGAGTCATACACTGAATCGAGTGAGTCATTGATTCAGTGACTCGGTTGCTTCATTCCTGAATGAATCGGTTGAGTGAATGATTCAATGACTCACTCATTAAGAAAGTAACTTGCCATCTCATATTTGGAGTATCATTGAACTTTTCGTGTATATTCATGCCTCCTCTGAGCTTCATTGAACAGTCCGTGTAAATATACCTATAAATGCCCCTTCAGATGCTGAACAATGTTCCTCTCTAAAGCTACTTCCAATGCTTTTCTCATTTAACACAATGATCGTTTCTCAGGCCAGATTTATCCGATTAGTTAATCAGCACATCATGTAATTACTTAGACTTTTTTTAAAAGTAGTCGCTTGACAGCCTTCATTTTTATTGACATTAACAAATTACAATAATTAAATGAAATAGGCCTAAATATATTTGTGTTAGTTAATGCATTAACAAATATGACCTTATTGTTACCAATTACATATTGCATAAAGAGAAGGAAGCCTGTGTTAAGGCCAGAAGGTGTTTAGTGTTTTCATCACGTTTACATGGACATTCTCGAGCTTTTTCCTGTAAAACACACCGAACGTCGAGGCAGCCTGAGTTTGTTGTGAATTCCATGAGTGTGTGTGTGTGTGTGTGTGTGTGTGTGTGTGTGTTTCTGTTTCTGCTTGGCTCTGGTTCCACACCCATCAGAACTGTGTTTCAGTCGAGCGTTTCGTCTTTTGTTGAGTCAAGGCTAGCAGAAACCGAACGAACACGACTCCTGTTCTGTGTTTAACCGTTTGTGTTCCTCTAATCCTCTCAGAGGTGTGGACTCTCTCGTTTCTCCTCGTTTTCCTCCATCCCTCCATCATGTATAATAAAGCATGAGTGTGCAGTAACAGGAGAACAAGAAGCTGATCCAACTCCGCCGCTTCTCATGCTAATGAGACGCACGCGCGACAGTGGTCATGATATTTCACAGACATCCGTGTAGAAACTGTGTGTTTGTGCTTGTGTGTGCAGTGGATCCTCTGTGGTTGCTATAGCAACACACACACACACACGGTTGCACTATTCTAACATGTATTTATTTCTTTATTTTCCGACGGTGATTCAGCAGAAGGCTAGGCTAATGGTGTCCGCGGATGTTCGAGGGTAAAACCAGCACAAAATGGCGTCGCTGGTGTTTGTGTGATTGTGTGCCTTCGTGCGATGAGACACAAACAGAACAAAAACACACAATGAATGTGTGTTTTATGACTGTAACCCTGTTTGTATGTTGTTATATATATATATATATTAGTGCTGGGCAACGATTAATCGCATCCAAAATAAATGTTTGTGTTTACATAATATATGTGTGTGTGCTGTGTGTAATTATTCTGTATAAATACACATATATGCATGTATATATTTAAGAAAAATGTGTCATTTATATATAAAATATTTATATGTAATACAATTATGTACAGTATATACATGATGCAAATATTTCTTAAGTGTGTATTTATATACAAAATAATTATACACAGCACACACAGTAAACACAAACTTTTATTTTGGATGCGCTTAATAGTTGCCCAGCACAAATATATATATATATATATATATATATATATATATATATATGCTGAAATAATGTAATTTCTGCCTGTTATAGAGAGAATAAATTATTCGATTTGTTTTAAAATGTTTGTTTTTTTGTAGATGGAAGATGGTCAGACTCTGTTTGATTACAACGTCGGCCTGAACGACATCGTCCAGCTTCTGATTCGCTCGCAGTCTGACCCGCCGGAAAGCCCCGCCCTCAACAACGGGGAGGGTGTGGCCGGTGTCATAGCTCCGCCCCCAACCACGTCTGTCCCAGCCTCAGCCACACCCACCACAACAGCCGTTTCCCCGACAACCGTCTCCAACAGCAACGGAAACGAGTCCAAATCCCTCATCCCGGAGTCGGGTGACAGTGAGCCGTCCACATCCAGCCGAACGTTCCTCCTCGATCCCGGGATCGGGCACTTCAAAGTAAGACTCGTCAAACTGATGAATAATTACTGGACACATTAATGATCATCATTGCATTACTCACAATTACAACATTTACACACAGCTTATGACAAATTCTTTTTTTATTTATAAATTTTACAGTAATTATTTAAGTGCACTATATTAAATTCATAGTGCTATAAAACATTATTATTATATGCATTAATGATAACAATAATACATTTGATTAAATATAATTTAGTATTTAGACGAGTTGGGTTCCAAAAATGTGAATTCTAACATTTGGAGTAATGAAAAGAAAATGTTAAAATATGTATATTTATATTTTTTATTCATTTAATTTATTTAACATGAATTAATTACACTGAATTAACACATTAAATGTGCTTTGAAACATTATTATATGCATTTATAATGACAATTATACATCTGATTATTTTAATATTATTTAATATTTAGATGAGATGAGTTGTGTACCAAAACCAAAGTGTGAATTCTAACATATGAAATTATTGTTTATGTTTTAAATCTAAAATATTACTTTGATAATAACATTTTAAAATATTATTTACATTTATAGATATTTTTAGCTATTATTATTATTATTATTTTTATTTAATTCATTGCGCTTTGAATGAATTGAATTTACACATTAAACTGAAAATGTTACAAAACGTTACATGCATTTATAATAATTATAAATTTTATCAATATCATTTAATATTCAGATGAGTTGTGAACCAAAACCAAAGTGTGAATTCTAACATAGCGTATAATATAACATTCATAACATATCATTATTTTAAAATAGAATATTATAAATATTATTTTAATAATAATGGTAATAATAATATTTTTAAATGATATTTTAACTTTATATTATTGTTTTAATATTTATGGTGGTGATTGTTGTTGTTTTTATAATTAATTTCATTCTACCATTTGTTTATGAATAAAATCACACATTTTGTTTAGTTTGTATCTTACAATTTTTTCTCGCAATTCTGACTTTTCTCGCAGTTCTGACTTTTTTCTCGTAATTCTGACTTTTTTCTCCCAATTCTGATTTTATTTTGATATTTTTCTCTCAATTATGATTTTTCTCGCAATACTGACTTTTTTCTCTCTATTGAGAGTTTATATCTCACCTAGGGATGTCAACGATTAATCGACGATGGATTAATTGTCGATAACACGTTTAATCGATAAACCTTATCGATCATCGGTTAAGCAGGTTCATGCGCGTGCGTGCTGCTCAACCGCGAAACATGTAAGCGAGCGCGCCGGAGTTATGTTTGGGACTATTTTACACCTTCATCATGACTATAAGTTTGCATGTGCATTCGCTGCCTTTTGTTTTGTGCAAATGTAAGTTGTAATAGTTTATTTTGTGTGCGCCTATCTATAATTATATCTGATTTATCTCATATTGGATGCATTTGGTTAAGAATTGACGCAGCGTGATCTTTAGCGCGCGCAGCTCACATGGCAATGCACGACTAATAACGACTATTGGGACTGTCATATTATATAACATTATAAAGAGAACAATATTGTAATAAAAGGTACTTTGTGAATTATTTGGGTTTAGTTGCCGTGTTGTTCCAGGAAGAGCGCGTAGGCTACGACATGAGTCATTCTGAATGGCACGTAACTTAGTTCAAGTTCACTTGTGCATTCACGTCATTTTGTGCAGATATAATTTGTAATATTATGTTTATTTTGTACATATCTGATTAATCTCATAGGATGCGTTTCTTTGAGTTAAATAACGTGCTAGCAAAGTGCTCAACGGTTAAGTTATTCATTCAGCGCGCGCCGCTCAAGCAGAATGCACGACTAATAACGAGGATTAATTTGGGACTGTCATATTACATAACATGAGAACACTATTTTATTAAATCGGTGTGAATTCATTGGGTTTAGTTGCCGTTTTAAGTGCGTTGTTCCAGGAAGAGCACGCGTCCACAAGTCACACATTCTGACAAGCGCATCTGAGGCGGCGTTGGTGACACGTTGTATTAGTCCTTATATTTGATTATTAAATATTTTATTTAATTCAGGGCCTGAATTTCGTTTTGGGGGGGGGATTTTTTTTTGAGGGGGAGAAGGGCGGGGGGCATTTTTTCCAAACAAAAATTACATTTATCTTGCCTAAATGTTTGCGCTCATTGCATTTTTACAATGGGGTAATATTGTTGTTAAGAGTTTACACAACACAAGGAAGCTTGATTTAAATTGTTTAATTAAATTTAAAAAAGTAGCACAAATAAATACAATAGAATAAAGATACAAATAAAGACAAATAAAGAGAAAAGTTTTTCAATGGGTCTAACTTCATATAGGCCTACAGAAACTGAATAAAGTAATCAAATGGAAAATAACACTGGGTAGTATTTTAGTCCTGAATAAATTAAATATATATAGGCTATTAATCCTGATTCCTTTAACTTAAAGCTATATTTTGTTGTTTTGACAACTAAATTAATGAGCTAGTGCACGGATCCTGTGTTCATTATACTGACATGCGTTTTATGCTTATTAAAAGACAAAACCGACTATGTTTAGAGTATACTCACGAAGACCGAAATTGACACAATTTTGCGTGTTAAAGCAATATAATCCGAGAAAAATAACTTTTGTTACTGGCCAGCTGTTTTTGAGGCGGATTCTCTATGAATGTGCGCATAGAAAATCATCTCAGAGAGCGCATGCGCACTGATTAGTTTAAAATCACTTGAATGTTTAAACTGGTAAGACTTAAAAAGACGTGCAAATGGTGAACTTCAGTCACGACGCACTGCTGGCCCGATTGTGCGAGTGAATATCCATCATGTCCCGACTCCTAAACGCGAGTGTGTCGCCGCAGCGCTTGATCCCTGCCTTGCACAACACATTTTGAGAGAAGAGAGAGAAGACGCGGCACCGCTGAACACTCACGCTGTTTGTGAAATTGCGCCTGGCAGATAGTTGTTAAAAGAATGATTTGATTTTATAATCTGTGTGGATTACGACTGCGGGAATTTCCTGCATTATAAATGGGAGACCTGTGGGAATTATTAGAATAATGCGCAATACCCGCAATCCCGCGCCGAAATTCGAGCCCTGTATAATTATCAATCACATCGAAACATTTTACAATCCTACTAGCCCTTTATTTAGATTAAACCCATTCTCATTAATTTGGTGAGGAACATAGCGGTTTGAGCAGCATTTGCAGACGCTGCCATGCTGTTGGCCATATGCACTGCAGCAGACGCATATTGCAGTATCAAGGCTAATGATTAATCGATTAATTGATCGTTAATTTAAACGATGATCGATCATGGGAATTTGTGAAAATTGACATCCCTAATCTCACCATTATGAATTTTTCTTGCAATTCTGAATTTTTTTTCTCACAATCTTACTTTTTTCTTGCAGTTCTGACTTTTTTCTCGCAATTCTGACTTTTCTCGCAATTCTGACTTTTCTCGCAATTCTGACTTTTTATTTTGACATTTTTCTCGCAATTCAGATTTTTCTCGCAATACTGACTTTTTTATCGCAATTGCGAGTTTATATCTCACAATTCTGACTGTTTTCTCGCAATTCTGAATTAAATAACCTATAAATAAGGTGTGATGAACAAATAAAGGCAGTGGCATGAGCAAATAGGCAGTTAAATCACAGTGACTGATATGACAATCAATCATGAGCCTGTAAATCTGATAATCATGATGCGTAACTGTTTCTTCTCTGCGTTGTGTTCAGGTGAACGAGTTGGTGGACTGCAGAGACGTCAGTATCGGCGCCTGGTTCGAAGGCGTCATTGATAAAGTCACTCCTGCCAGTAAAGGACAGAACAGGGTGGGCCGACCCAGCAAACGCACTAACGGCAAACTGGAGTCTGAGGCGAACGCCGACTCTACCAGCGCGCCGGAGAAAGGGTTCAACTCGGACAACAGCCAATCCACAACCTCCAAAACAGATTCAGCAAACAGCCGCCAGGACGTCTCGTACCACATTAAATATGAAGAGTAAGTGCATCATGGGAAGGAAGTCTCTTTATTTTTCACCCTCTTGTCTGGATTGTAATTGGATTCTTACCATGGTGCGGTGGATTGGTATTGCTGTGATTGCATGATGGGATGCGTCCTGAATGGGGTAAGTGCATCGCTTCCGAAAGCAAGCAATGCATGCTGGGAAACCATGCTGATCCAAGAACAGTGTTTGTTGAGGTTAGTAATGCTCGGGTCACGTGGGTCTGAGTCAGAGTGTGAACCGAGGTTATTATCGTTAACCTTATAACATTTCTGTTTATTGAAATATTGCTAAAATAATGTATAAACTACTTTAACTAAAATCAGAAATAAACTGAAATTAACATGAAAAAGCTAATTCAAAATATTAAAGTCCCCCTGTGGTGAAAATCCAGCTTTTAATGTTGTTTATATGTTTAATATGCTTTAACACAAGCCATGTGTAAGTTCATAAGTCGACAGCATTGCTGAGTATTTCCTGCTTAAAACTGCAGTGAACCAAAGACAGTCTCAAACACAGACGTTTCTGACGTGGGATGTTGTCAGTATCACTGTCTCCGACACACACACACACACACTCTCTCTTCTTTGAAAAGAAACCGTCGCCGTTTAAGAGATCCGACACGCATCAAACCAAATTGGTTCCAAACGCCATAAATTTGATTGCTTTGAGATATTAAGACAGAGTTTGTCCCAGATACAGTCGACATGATTGTGAACGAGCCCGAACGTGATTTTATGACCTGTCATATATACTTTCTAATAGTCATCATGTCATAAAATGATTCGTCTTAGGTTTTGAACATAAATTTAAAAAAAGTTTAAAATAGCATTGTTTGTTTATTTATTTATTTAAATGTTAAAAACTTTAATACATGACATGACAACTTATTTTTAAAATATTAAAATTATCTAAAGTCTTTTTTTTTTTTTATTATAAATGTGTAAAACAAATTTATTTAAATGTTGATAACTTAAAAACATGTTAACATTTAAATGCTAAATAAAATAAAACATGTTTAAATAATATTATTTGTTTATTTAAATGCTAAACTAAAAAATATGTGCAATGATATCATATCATACATATATTTTTGTCTCCACAATAACTCTATTAATAATATTTAAAATGATTTCTTAGGTTTTTTAAATAAATAAATAAATAAAGCATGTTTAAATAATAACATCTTGTTTGTTTAAATGTTAAAAACTTAAAAACATGTAAAGTGATATCATATTTTTTTTATTTTGTTCCTCTTTATAATAGCGTTCACTGATGAATCATTCACAATAAGTCAAGAAGTACTTATGAAAAAGCTCGGTCATCATCATGTTAGTAGAATATTGAATATGATTGCATATGTTTAATACATTAGATGTCTTATATGAGTCGGCCTGTTCTGTGTGTTCTTTGTTGGACGGTGGGATTTGTTTGCTAGTTTTGTTGAAGATGCTGAAGAACTTGAACTGGTTAGATTAGGGGTGTCCATGGTTAACCGATTAACCGTTAAAAATTGCTTAACCGAGTGAAACATTTTGCTCGGTTAAGTGGCGTCACTGGCGTGCATTGAATTTAGTTGTAATACATTTTTGCACCACCAGAGACCGCCAGAGCGCTCCCATACATTTGTAATGTCCACAAGAAGAAGTAGTCATGACTCATGACCAGTTTTCTAATATGAAGCGGGCAAAGAAAAGCACAGTGTGGGAGCACTTTAAAATCGAGAATGACGGGGCAAAATGCAAGTATTGCAATGAGATATAATATGAGATATAAGGTTAGATATACTTCAAGTACAACCTCGTTGTTGTACCATCTCAACAGCCAACACCCGGGCATCATTATGGTTTTGTGTGTTCACACCGAACGCGAATAGAGCGTCAAATAACGTTACGCGTCTATCGCGTCTAGCTTGAACATTCGCTCGAGTTCAAATTTTTCAACTTGCGCGGAAGACATTCGCGGCAAACGCGTCGCCCAATTCGCGTCATTCGCAACGCCCGGCGCGAATGATGCGTCTTCGCGTCTCGCTAAGGGCCTCGGTTAACGGTTAATGAAAAACTTGAAAACGTGCAGCCCTAGGTTAGATCCATGTGAAGAACAGCTAAACAATCAAATACACTGTGTGTTTCACTGTGTGTTTCACTGCGTGTTTCACTGCGTGTTTCACTGTGTGTTTCACTGTGTGTTTCACTGTGTGTTTCACTGTGTGTTTCACTGCGTGTTTCACTGCGTGTTTCACTGTGTTTCACTGTGTGTTTCACTGTGTGTTTCACTGTGTGTTTCACTGTGTGTGTCACTGTGTGTTTCACTGTGTGTTTCACTGTGTGTTTCACTGCGTGTTTCACTGCGTGTTTTACTGCGTGTTTCACTGCGTGTTTCACTGTGTGTTTCACTGCGTGTTTCACTGTGTGTCACTGTGTGTTTCACTGTGTGTTTCACTGTGTGTTTCACTGTGTGTCACTGTGTGTTTCACTGTGTGTTTCACTGTGTGTTTCACTGCGTGTTTCACTGTGTGTCACTGTGTGTTTCACTGTGTGTTTCACTGTGTGTTTCACTGTGTTTCACTGTGTGTTTCACTGTGTGTTTCACTGTGTGTTTCACTGCGTGTTTCACTGCGTGTTTTACTGCGTGTTTCACTGTGTGTTTCACTGTGTGTTTCACTGTGTGTGTCACTGTGTTTCACTGCGTGTTTCACTGCGTGTTTCACTGCGTGTTTCACTGTGTGTTTCACTGTGTGTTTCACTGTGTGTTTCACTGCGTGTTTCACTGCGTGTTTCACTGCGTGTTTTACTGCGTGTTTCACTGTGTGTTTCACTGTGTGTTTCACTGTGTGTTTCACTGTGTGTTTCACTGCGTGTTTCACTGTGTGTTTCACTGCGTGTTTCACTGTGTGTTTCACTGTGTGTTTCACTGCGTGTCACTGTGTGTTTCACTGTGTTTCACTGTGTGTCACTGTGTGTTTCACTGTGTGTCACTGTGTGTTTCACTGCGTGTTTCACTGTGTGTCACTGCGTGTTTCACTGCGTGTTTCACTGCGTGTTTTACTGTGTGTTTCACTGTGTGTTTCACTGCGTGTTTCACTGCGTGTTTCACTGTGTGTTTCACTGTGTGTTTCACTGTGTGTTTCACTGTGTGTTTCACTGTGTGTTTCACTGCGTGTTTCACTGCGTGTTTCACTGTGTGTTTCACTGTGTGTTTCACTGTGTGTTTCACTGCGTGTTTCACTGTGTTTCACTGTGTGTTTCACTGTGTGTCACTGTGTGTTTCACTGTGTGTTTCACTGTGTTTCACTGTGTGTCACTGTGTGTTTCACTGTGTTTCACTGTGTGTTTCACTGCGTGTTTCACTGTGTGTTTCACTGTGTGTCACTGTGTGTTTCACTGTGTGTTTCACTGTGTGTTTCACTGCGTGTTTCACTGCGTGTTTCACTGTGTGTTTCACTGTGTGTTTCACTGCGTGTTTCACTGTGTGTTTCACTGTGTGTTTCACTGTGTGTTTCACTGTGTGTCACTGTGTGTTTCACTGTGTGTCACTGTGTGTTTCACTGTGTGTTTCACTGTGTGTTTCACTGTGTGTTTCACTGCGTGTTTCACTGTGTGTTTCACTGTGTGTTTCACTGCGTGTTTCACTGTGTGTTTCACTGTGTGTTTCACTGTGTGTTTCACTGTGTGTCACTGTGTGTTTCACTGTGTGTTTCACTGCGTGTTTCACTGCGTGTTTCACTGCGTGTTTCACTGCGTGTTTCACTGTGTGTTTCACTGCGTGTTTCACTGTGTGTTTCACTGTGTGTTTCACTGTGTGTTTCACTGTGTCACTGCGTGTTTCACTGCGTGTTTCACTGCGTGTTTCACTGCGTGTTTCACTGTGTGTTTCACTGTGTGTTTCACTGTGTCACTGCGTGTTTCACTGTGTGTCACTGTGTGTTTTACTGTGTGTTTCACTGTGTGTTTCACTGTGTGTTTCACTGCGTGTTTCACTGTGTTTCACTGTGTGTTTCACTGTGTGTTTCACTGTGTGTTTCACTGTGTGTTTCACTGTGTTTCACTGTGTGTCACTGTGTGTTTCACTGTGTTTCACTGCGTGTTTCACTGTGTGTTTCACTGTGTGTTTCACTGTGTGTCACTGTGTGTTTCACTGTGTGTCACTGCATGTCACTGTGTGTTTCACTGTGTGTTTCACTGTGTGTGTCACTGTGTGTGTCACTGTGTGTTTCACTGTGTGTGTCACTGTGTGTTTCACTGTGTGTTTCACTGTGTGTTTCACTGTGTGTTTCACTGCGTGTTTCACTGTGTGTCACTGCATGTCACTGTGTGTTTCACTGTGTGTTTCACTGTGTGTGTCACTGTGTGTGTCACTGTGTGTTTCACTGTGTGTGTCACTGTGTGTTTCACTGTGTGTTTCACTGCGTGTTTCACTGCGTGTTTCACTGTGTGTCACTGCGTGTCACTGTGTGTTTCACTGTGTGTTTCACTGTGTGTCACTGTGTGTTTCACTGTGTGTTTCACTGTGTTTCACTGTGTGTTTCACTGTGTGTTTCACTGTGTTTCACTGTGTGTCACTGCGTGTCACTGTGTGTTTCACTGTGTGTTTCACTGTGTGTCACTGTGTGTTTCACTGTGTGTTTCACTGTGTTTCACTGTGTGTTTCACTGTGTGTTTCACTGTGTGTTTCACTGTGTGTTTCACTGTGTTTCACTGCGTGTTTCACTGCGTGTTTCACTGTGTGTCACTGCGTGTTTCACTGTGTGTTTCACTGTGTGTCACTGTGTGTTTCACTGTGTGTTTCACTGCGTGTTTCACTGCGTGTTTCACTGTGTGTTTCACTGTGTGTCACTGTGTGTTTCACTGTGTGTTTCACTGTGTGTTTCACTGTGTTTCACTGTGTGTTTCACTGCGTGTTTCACTGTGTGTGTCACTGTGTGTTTCACTGTGTGTTTCACTGCGTGTTTCACTGTGTGTTTCACTGTGTGTTTCACTGTGTGTTTCACTATGTG